GGGGGCCAGGTAAACACCTGTACGAGATTCTAGATTTGAAGCTTTCGTGACTGCAAGGATTCATATTCTTAGGTTTTTTCGGTAAAGTCACGTAGGTAAAACATCAAAATTAATAAAAATAAAATATTATATTATATTAATTTTGATGTTTTACCTACGTGACTTTACCGAAAAAACCTAAGAGTATGAATACCTGTACGAGACCACGCCCATATTGCAACAGACCCCACCCCACACACAGGCTCCTCCTACTCTCGCGTTTGACCCAGCCCCCCTTGTGTCAACCAATCAACGCACACCTCCCCCTCTAGTCCACGCCCATATTCGGCACATGCCCCACCCACCCTTACATTTAGACCCCTCCTCCCTTGCGTTAACCAATCGACGCACACCTGCCCGCGAGACCACGCCCACATTTGTCACATGCCCCACCCACCCTCGCGTTTGACCCCGCCCCTTGCGTTAACCAATCGACGCACACCTGCCCGCGAGACCACGCCCACATTTATCACATGCCACCACCCACGCGTTTCGCCCCGCCCCTCCCCTTTGCGTTAACCAATCAACGCACACCTGCCCGCGAGACCACGCCCACATTTATCACATGCCACCACCCACCCACGCGTTTCGCCCCGCCCCGTCCCTTTGCATTAACCAATCAACGCACACCTACCCCGCGAGACCACGCCCACATCTGTCACATGCCACCACCCACGCGTTTCGCCCCGCCCCGCCCTTTGCATTAACCAATCAACGCACACCTACCCCGCGAGACCACGCCCATATCTATCACATGCCACCACCCACGCATTTCGCCCCGCCCCGTCCCTTTGCATTAACCAATCAACGCACACCTGCCCGCGAGACCACGCCCACATTTGCGACGACATGCCCCGCCCCCCACACACCGTAAAGTTCCCGCCCTCCACCGACACCTGGCCGAGTTGCCCCCTCCCCTCATCCCCCACAACCTGCACACGTGACCAGAAACTTGGCCCAGCAACTCCCGCCTCTGCCTCTCGCGAACATCTTCGGGGGGCTCCGCGAACCCCCCCCCCCCCCCCCCCGTGTCACCGCTTACCCCCTACGGGGATCAGCGGCGGGGACCCCGGATTGAAGGGGACCCCCCACCCCCAGGAGTTTATGGGGACCAGCTTCGCGTTCGTTTTCTTCCCTCAGGTGAGGCGGCGGAGAGAGGCCGCGGAGGGTTTTGTTGTGGTTGTGGTTGTTGTTTTGTTGTCGCGCGCCTGATGAAGGACCCGTGGGCCGAAACGTCGTCGAGTGTTTTTTTTTTCGTTTTTGTTTCGTGCGCCCGCCGTGTCGAAGGCTGTGTCCAGCCGGACAGTGCCAATGTTTTGTGTTTTTGGCTTCATCGCGGTGATTATCGCTGATAATCGCGATAATCGCGATAATCGTAACGACTCCTTCGGCAAAGACATGTCGCGATTGTACATCACCGTTGCCCCTAAATGTTTCATTTCCACACTAAACTTGTTGCGATGTAACCGACTCGGATTGATTGCAGTGTAGCTCGGTTTTAAACGCGCGTACAGCACGTGACATTTGAACTTGTTCGGCTATGGGGCCGTCCATAAGTGACGTCACGCGATTTTGTAGGATTTTTGACCCCCCCCCCCCCACTTCGTCACACCGGCGTCACAAAGTCAGACCCCCCCCTCTCAAATGACGTCACAAAGCTCTGCCCCCCCCCCAAAAAACATGCTTCAAATCGCTTTAAAACTATTGTCATTGTAGTGCGTATTTAATGTGGCGCTGCACTCTGATGTTGTAGGAGAAAACATGTATTAAAAAGTCTATTTAATTAAGTAGAACGTGTTGTCTATATTTATTTAAAGTTGCGCATTTTGATGTGACGTCACATTTCTCACCCCCCCCTCGTCACACAATCGTCACAAATGTCTGCCCCCCCCCCCTAGGTGCGTGACGTCATTATGACGGCCCCTATATCGGGTGGTGGAGGGTCTTAACGGCAACACTTTTTGACAGATAATTACGTGGCCAAATCCCTCCTCCAAAAAAAAAATCCATTATGAATGTGTAGTTAGAATTGTACATACATAGCTATTATCATACATAATTACTTTGCAAATACTCTTAGTTTTTTTTCGGTAAAGTCACGTAGGTAAAAATAAAAATAATAGAAATGATAATTTATTATTTCATTTCTATTATAATTTCTATATTTTATTTTTTCCTACGTGACTTTACCGAAAAAACCTAAGAGTATGAATCCTTGCAGTCACGAAAGCTTCAAATCTACTTTGCTAATGTTTTTTTTGGAGCAATTGTAATTGATTATAAAACTGCATAATATTCATGGTTCCTGTCATAATTTAATTGTTTATTGTGTAACTGACAGCATTTGCTTGGTGAATCGTTTTGGACCGCTCGAAAACCACGTTCGGGACCGTCCATAAATGACGTCACGCACCTAAGGGGGTGGGAGGGGCTGTCAGACATTTGTGACGACGTGGGAGGGGGGGAATTTGAGAAATGTGACGTCACATCAAAATGCGCAACTTTAAATAAATATAGACAACACGTTCTACTAATTAAATAGACTTTAAACACATTTTTCTCCTACAACATCAGAGTGCAGCGCCACATTAAATACAGGTGGTGGGTTCGATCAGACCCCTGACTCCTGTATATTTGGAGTTTGCTGTCTCTCCCCAATGGTTGTAATGAATTTATCTCCGGATCAACATGCTATTTAGAGTATTTGACTGCTATAAATTCCACGCCGATAAGCCACTGCTTTGCACTATAATTTCTATCCAGGTCGCTTCTGAAAAAGACCTCTATAGCTCAGTGGGCTTACCTGGTAAAATACAAAACTCGTTAGTTTTCAATATTTTTTTGTTTTCTCCAAATACCAGACCTGCTTGCCCTCCTTCCGTTAACGAATGTCGCCACTGCATGGTTTGGCAGGGCAGAGTGGGGCGCCGCAGACGGGGACCGAGGGGGCAGTTTTGGCGACAAACAGGTCGTCGTACATCACCCGGTGTCCAAATCCCAACCAGTTTCCACCAGGACCTCAAGGACCACAAGAACATCGCATCCAGTCTGCCAGGGAAACCTCCGTAACGTACGTATGTGTATGTGAACCTCTTTCAACATCGTACGTTGACAGCAGTGCTCATTGGAGGTGCGGGGGGAAGGACAACATAGCCCACACTGTTTACACGCCACGCGTGGGGGACATACCTCAGTGAGATGAACCGAGGTCAGATTTTTTTTTGGGCAGAAAAATATATTTTGCTGGCCGGGTTGAAGCCCAGCCTGTGGATGGAGTGAAATTCATTTGAAACTACAATCTTAACCTGCATTGCATGAATGACCTGTGGCCACATTAGGCTTTATATTTCATCGCTCAGTCACTTTGAATGAGTGAACTTATTATTTAAGGGGTATTTCCAGTAACAACAACACAGTGCAAAAAAAAAAACCGATGCAGACAAATACAAATTATGCAGGACAACCCACCAGATTTTTTTAATAGTAATTTACCATTCTTCTCAGTCTGTCGGTCATGGGGGTTATTTGACCATACTTCAGCATGCTGGCCAGAGCCAGTTTATTAAAGGATTTTGGGGGTGGGTGGGTGGAGGGTGGGGTTACCAGACCAGTTTGATATCAAACGTCTCTAATGTCAACTATGACCTGGAATTGAATGAGGTTACTTGGTCATAGTGCAGTGTGAGAACCATTGCACCACTGTGTTATTAGGTGATTGCTTAAATTTAGCTGTGAGGTTGCCAACATTTTTTTTTCCGCCGTAGGTCTTTATAGCGTTTACCGTTGCAGGTCGATGTCGACATCTTCCGACCATTCGACCGAGTTGAGTCAACCTTGGCATTCCACCTTTTAGCCAGCACCAGAAGAGGCCGTCCTCCACAATGTGGACGTTTGTTTGGTGGGCACCACCGCGGTCACGTGCGAGTAGGGGTGACGTGCTCACTAGCATGCCTGCCAAATCGTTGTGCCAAGCCAGCGTGCCAATTTCGACAGTAGCTACACACTAGTTTTATTAGGCAAGACCCAGACAATCCAGCCAGCTGGGGTCAATGGGTCATACATAGCTCGTCTTTGGTGTCATAGGTTTGCGTTTCCTTACGGTCAGAGCGCGCGCCACCTACACAAGAATGACGTCGCCCAAGTGCGGTAAATTGACTCGTGAACAAGTGAAGTTTACGGGACCTGCTTTGGCAGTGATGCACAAGAACATATCTAATGAAATGAATCACAAAAAGCTCCTTTCTGTCCCCACTCCTTCCTCCAAAGTATTGATGTTACCCGGAATGTCAGCCTTTTATTTTCGCGTTGCAAAGAAATGCAGTGCGAATGAGTAGTTCGGTGAGATTTGTTCAGGGAATGTCACACAAAGATGTGCGGAGGCTTTTGTAAATGACACATTCACACGTAGGTCAACGACGTAACCGGTTCTCAGTTTCTCCCTGAATGTTTTCTCAGTTGCTGGTGGACTTCGAGCAGGCACTTGACTAGCAGCCACAGCCGTAGTGACTTTACCGAAAGAACCAAACAGTATAGGTAGTCCCCCACTTACGACGGAGATGCGTTACGACGACCCCATCGTAAGTCGAAAATATCGTAGGTCGAAGATGGCCTAGCCTACCCAGGAGTCTTAAAGAATGGTGATAATTTAGCAAAACAAAGCAATTTACAGTACCGTACTGTATAAACTATATACTGTATGTATTTATTAATTACAATACTGTATTGCACAGTAAAATTTTAAGTAAAAACAAGGTACATTTTTGGCCTACCTACAATTTTGTCATCGATATCGCCATCGTAAGATCGAAATATCGTAAGTCGGATCATCGTAACTCGGGGACTACCTGTATAGGTATAATAGATGTGGTGTGCCGATTGCGACATATTGTTCTGGTCTCACTGGTAGGCTGGAGGCATTCGATCAGTAACCACAGCCATAACGAGAGTTCTGATGTAATGTAATAATTTAAGAAATGCAAAATGATGATTGAAGCATCTCTAGCACGATAAATTTTGCGTGCCAGGTGCGGAAATATGCTCTGGCTTGCTGACCCAGACGTCCTTGGCTGAAGTTATCCCGATAATAATGATGCGTAGATTAATGTTGTATTCTTTAAATGTGCCCGTAAGGGGTAAACGTTTTTCTCTTTGTACGTGTTGTGTGCAATGGCTTCACGTCACGTCTGCGATGCACATTTAGACACCTTTCCAGTTAAAATTTTAAGTTTATTTTGTTTAACCGGGTGAGAACTGAAGGGATCTGGATAGTCTCATTTGTCATTAGCCTGCCGACAGGCACGGATGATTGCTGCTGTGTGTGATCCCAATTGAGTAATTTGTCGTGTCATTTTTGAATTTGTAAAATGCGGACGCCAGCACACAGAATCAGAAGTGTATTTCTCGAGCTGTTTCTCGAGTAAAGCCCATCGAGCTAAAAGATTAATTTTCAAGGGGTGATCTTGGCTGGCAGCCAACCTCACAGCATTCCACAATTACAGGTGTAAAAAAAACGAGACCAATTATATGGCACAATTACATTCACACTTAACCTTGGCCTACTCTTGCGAGTGACTTCAGGGGATCTTTAACATCCACTCTGAGCGAAGCAGACGGCGCGTAGTTTCATTATTACTGCGGTTATTACACACTGTAGTATTAATCATGGTGGCCGCTGGATTTGAACTGTGAACGTCTGCAACGAGCGGCGAACGCGCTGCCGCTAGGCCGCGTGTGTCGGGGTGTGCAGTAGACGTGCGCTGACATGTGCACTTGAGAGAGTACGTTCGGCATGTGTTAAAAGTGTTGCGTTCAGGCGTTGCGTTGAGGAGCTGCGTCAGGGTACGTGATGTGGCATTGGGTGTGGCGTTGCAGCGACATCTTCCCAGCGGCGAGCGAGCGAGGCAAGACCCTGACGCTCGTCGGCTTGTCCCGCCAGCGCCGCACAAGCACCAACACGGGGACAGTCTGCAGAAACCGGTGGAGAACCGTGACCGCCGGTACAAGGAAGGTCTGCGTGAGCTAGTGCATTACAAGGACGGGCACAAGGAGAGTCTACAGAAACCAGAATACAATAGGACAGGTATAAAGAAAGTGCTTACAGGCCAACGGATGACAAGGAGCGACACAAGGAAAGTGTGTATAAGCCAGTGTATAACAAGGACAGGCATAAGGAGAGTGTGCACATGGCAATACAGAATAAGGAGAGTGTCCCGAAACCAGTGTATGATAAGAACCAGAATAAGGAAATGCTGTACAAGCCAGTATATCATAAGGACCGGTACAAGAAGAATATGGACAGATCGGTATATCATAAGGACCGGTATAAGGAAAGTGTAGACAAGCCAGTACATCATAAAGAAATTCTGTATAAGCCGTTACATCATAAAGACGTGAATAAAGAAAGTCTGTACAAGCCAGTACACCAGCTAGTGCATAACAGGGACCGGTCTACAGACAGCCCCTGTTGACAAAACTCAGAGGGCAGCCAAGGAAAGGGGCGACAGCCCGAATCACACGACCGTGCAGAGGCAAGAAAGGCCGAGTTTGCAAAAACCGAGTTTTGAGAAGTGGGACCCGTTCCGACCGAGACGGACGAGGCAAGTGCATCCCGACGGCAGCCACAGCTGCAGTGTGGTCACACCGGGGTCTGGAGCGAAGGGGCCTCATCGAGGGGTCAAGGGGACCCGCGGGACAGAGGGGGTCCGCGGGGCAAAGGAGCCGGCAGGGTGCGCCCTGTCGAAACGGTCACAGGAGGAGTACGCGTGGCTCACGGAGCGACTGGGCGAGCAGGGAAAGGTGAGGGCTCCCGCTCCCATCACTGCTCCCCGATTTGTGAAAGAAACTGTGGCCCACCACTTTCACCATTGCCCACTCACACCCTGGACCGCAGCCATCTGCATCACACCACCCACTCACATCTGAACCACTACCACCACTCACACTCACCTGCACTACCACCAACAACAACGACAACCGCATTCGCCACAAAGTGGCGGTGACGTCACCACGACGCTTGTGGCAGGCTATGTGCACCTTGAGGCCACGTGAAGTGTCGAACGCCCGCTGGCAGGAGGTCACGGGGCAGACCCAGGTGCCACGGGTCGACTGACTGAGATGACTGGCTGATGCACTACCACCTGTACCACCACCCACTCACACCTGCACTTCCACCCCCAACCTGCACTATCACCTGTACCACCACCTGTACCACCACCCACTCACCTGTACCACCACCTGTACCACCACTCACTCACACCTGTACCACCACCTGTACCACCACCTGTATCACCATCTACTCACCACCTGTACCACCACCTGTACCACCCACCTGCTCACACCTGCACCACCTCTGCACAGCTGCACTATGACCTGTACCACTACCCACTCAAACTTGCATCCCTTCCCCCCCCCCCCACGTGGGTTTCATTGCAGTAGGAGTTACTAAGATTATGCCTCTGGTTCCACAGAAATGCCGGGCATATTCGGGGCGTTGCTCGCAGGTTGAGCACAGCACTGAAGCTGCCAGGTGAGTACGTGTGTGTGACTGTGTGTGACTGTGTGTGACTGTGTGTGACTGTGTGTGTGACTGTGTGTGACTGTGTGTGTGACTGTGTGTGTGCGCGCGGTAGGGCAGCAGTTTGCATGCTGTGGTACGAACCTGGCGAGCGGAGTTCGATTCTTGCTCACGGCCAACACCGGTGACGATTTTCTGAACCGGTCATGGGCCTCCCCTAGGTCGACTCAGCCTCATATGAGTACCTGGTGTGGTGTGTAAGCATCGCCGCTGGGGAGACAAAGACAGTCGGACTTGGTGCTGGCCACCCACCCCCTCATGTGCCGTGCCAACCTTCATTGGTGCCCCAACAGTCTGTTAAGGCTATAAGGGGGATCTTTGTGTGGCGCGCCTCAAGGTGTACCTAGTCTGGCACAAGCGCCTTGGTGACACCACTGCCACTTAGTGGCAGCGGTGGTGGTTCTTGTTGTGACTTTGTTGTTGTGACTGTGTGTGTGAATATACGTGGGGAACGGTGGCGCATGCTTAGCGCGTGCTGTGCTACAACCCCGCGACCCATGTTCGATACTCACTGCCAACAATCGGTGACGAATATCTGAAGCGGTCCTGAGCCTCTCCTAGGTCCACTCCACCTTAAATGAGTACCTGGTGCGATGGGTAAACATAAGCATTGGTGGAACCGAAGGTAGCGGAGAGAGGTTTTGGACATGCCACCCCCTCGTGCGCCGTGCTGGCCTTAACAGTCTGTAAAGGCTGTCCGGGGCGATCTTTGTTTTATCGTAGGTTTGAGGAGATGGCTGAACAAGCAACGCGGCTGCAGGTGCTACTGGAGATGGCGCAGAGGCAGGGGCACCGCCCCCCACACACACCCTCACGCGCGAGGACTCTGCACGTGCCCAGGTTCCGCACACACCCCAAGAAACACCCGCAACATCCAGCCTCCCCCACCAACACGCCACAACACCCCCACAACATCCAGCCACCCACCAACACGCACCACCACACTCCACAACTCCCAGTCACCCACCAACACGCACCACCACACTCCACAACTCCCAGCCACCCACCCAACATGCACCACCACACTCCACAACACCCAGCCACCCACCAACACGCACCACCACACTCCACAACTCCCAGTCACCCACCAACACGCACCACCACACTCCACAACTCCCAGCCACCCACCAACATGCACCACCACACTCCACAACACCCAGCCACCCACCAACACGCACCAACACACTCCACAACTCCCAGTCACCCACCAACACGCACCACCACACTCCACAACTCCCAGCCACCCACCAACATGCACCACCACACTCCACAACACCCAGCCACCCCACCAACACGCACCACCTCACTCCACAACACCCAGCCACCAGCCACATAATACAACGCTCAGCCACCCACTAATACACACCACACACAACGCTCAGGCCACCCACTAATACACACCACACACAAACGCTCAGCCACCCACCAATACACACCACACACAGCGCTCAGCCACCCACTAATACACACCACACACAACGCTCAGCCACCCACTAATACACACCACACACAACGCTCAGCCACCCACTAATACACACCACACACAGCGCTCAGCCACCCACTAATACACACCACACACAACGCTCAGCCACCCACTAATACACCACCACACACAACGCTCAGACCACCCACTAATACACACCACACACAACGCTCAGCCACCCACCATACACACGTGTTCTGCGTGACTGACCCGCCGACTGGCTGGCGGCATGTTGTCTAGTGGGCTGAAACACGATATTGAGGATTTTTTAAGTAGCTGGGCGGTAACAAAATTACAACCAAATATTTGAGAGTTAAAAGCACGTTTTCACTGATTCAATTTACATAATGTAAATACCAAAATTGAGTCGTGCAACACGCCCAGTTTCGGAGATCGGATGGCAGACGGAATATAGTTAACGACGGAACGGAGGCCCACGGAGGGAGGCATGGAGGGAAGGGAGTAGAAAAAAAAACTAAAATTGTGGCACGAGATGAGAAGATTTGGATGGAGATGACAAGAAATGTTTAAGAGTAGAAGACATTCAGGCAAGGAATTTTCCCAGCAGTGGGATGTTAACGGCCAGGACAGACGAACGGCAAGAAAGAAAAGGCGGCTGACGTGAGCTCACAGATGTGGTTACCGCGCTGCACACGCAAAATTACTGTTTGTCTATCATTTACCGGCAACCCAGCTGTGGTTTGGCGCTCCGTGCAGCTGTAGCGTTTGAGGCTGGTGCAAACTCCACGCAGCAAATGGCGCCCACAACAACGTTGAACCTTTTACGTTATTTCCTTCCTTCCGACGGCATTTGAAAGGCAGCGGACCGAGCTGTTTGCTGCCTGTTGAGTTTGGAAAGCCATTTAACGGTGTCTGGGCCGGCCAGATGGATTGCGTTTGTACCTCCCGCAAAAGTATGTGTGTGTTTGTGTGGGGAACGTTAGTACGGTGGTTAGCACGTGCGCTGCGCTAGGAAGCCGGAGTCCTGAGTTCGATTCCCGCTGTGGCCACCAACACTAGTGACAATTATCTAAACCTTTCCTGGGCGGTTCGACTCTGCGGTGTTTAAACATTGCCACTGGCCACCCTCCTTCTCGTGTGTAGTGCCAGCCTTCATAGGTTCTTGCTAACAGCACTTGCCCCAATAGACAGTTGCAGGCTACACGGGGGATATTTGTCGGTGATGATGGGAGCGATGGCGTTCACACTTTACCGCGGTCATAATTGGATGCACGTAGACTCGTACAGAGGCCCATGCAGTCTCGGCAGTAATTTTCTATCAAGGGCCTGGAAATTGATGCAAGGGGCAGATCGTGTAACAAGCTGGCAACAGATGTTTTAGGGGCTCTTTTGACCCCCACTGATTATGAAAATTGCTGTTGCCAAGCCAGATTTTTAGCCTGAAGCCTGATTTTTTGGCCTGAGTTGAAGATGGTCACCGAATCAATAGACTGTGTCACGGGTTCGAATTTGACTTGAAATGTCAAAACTTTTAAGCGAGTTATCAACGTGAAAAAACCTAAGTATGTATGCTTTAAAACTATATATGTGTCCCAAAAGATGCAAATGTGAGCTTTTCAAAGTGTCAGCTTACCAACTGATAAAAGCTCTTTGGAGCTAACAAATTCAAGTTCCTCGGATGTCCTCAAATTTTTTCTTCAAATATTTTTCCAGCTCGGATTGGGCAAGGCCCAACGTTGCCTAACTCAACCTGAAATGAGTACCTCCTGTGGTGTGAGTAAATATTGGCAGTGGGGGGAGAACAAAGGTGGTCGTGCTTGTTCCTTACCACATCACCCTCCCTCGTGCTCGCCAACAGCACTTGACCCAGCAGCCTCTTGCAGGTTACCTGTGCCCTCTTTGTCTTCGTACACGTAAGTGTGCATCCGTATGTTGGTGTGTGCCACAAGGTATAACACGTGACCCCCCCCCCCCCCCCCCCTGTGCGTAGGGTCAACCCTGACCTGGCTGCTGGTGACCTCTTGGTGACCGTGTTCCGGGGTCACGACCTTTGCCCCCCCTCCACTCCAGGTGAGGACGCAATGACGCGGGCGTGCGGGGCTTGCCTGTCTACCAAAGACAAAGATCTCCTGTATAACCATAACAGACTGGCGGGACAAGTGCTGTTAGCGAGCACCCATGAAAGTCGGCACGGCATGCACAAAGGTGGTGGGTGGCCAGCACTACGCCCGGCCGCCTTTGTCTCCCTAGCGGTGATGATTTTACACACCGTACCAGGTACTCATTTGAGACTGAGTCGACCTAGAAGAGAGCCAAGACCGATTCATATAATCGTCACTGGCGGTGTTGGCATTGAGCGGGAATAGAACTCGGGTCGCCTGGTTCATAGCGCCGCGCTCCCACCGTACACCTGGTGACCCACGACCCACACAAAAAAGGAACGGCTGGGATGCATGTGTAATGACTGACTTGGAGACATAACTTCTTGGAGGCAGCTTTTTATTTAAACACCGTGCACACTTTGTTATACACACCCTACACTTACATACTGTCTCTCGCTGAAACGCAACTCTACACTGGTTGCCAGCCTACACACAACGCTAGCCGTCTGACACTGATGGCGCTGAACTAAGACAACTACGTCCAGCAGCGCAATATCAAGTGGAGACGATGGCGACGATCTTCAGCAGCAACGACGATGAGAATCCCACTCCAAACGACAGCCCCGAGGTCCCCTCCCGGGGGGGGGGGGCCCTCTTATACTGGGGGGCGTGGCCTGGCTCCGCCCCTGGCCAACGCCCCCTTCTGGAACCTACTAGCGGGTCTCGACGTGTCCCTTCCGTAACCTTTCCCCGAGATCCCTCTCTGGTCTATCACGTGGCCTGCTGTCAGTCAGGGCTGCTGTAAGCTGCAGATCCCCTTCCCAGCCAGCAGCCGGCGCTGTTCTACTTGGTGACCAATTCTACGTCACTACACATGCTTGCAATTGCGCTGAGAGACGGGAAGACGCAACTCGTGGAGCTGAGAACGTGAGCAAAGTTCGAGACGGGAGTTGAAGAATGAGTAGCAACCAAGTGCCAGTACACGCCCAGCGAGAGAGAGAGAGGACGTCTACTGCGGAGGTGGAGCAATGAAATTGGCTCGTCGAGGGTGCTAGGCGGATTATTACCTAAGCGAGGTTATGAGAGATCACTGCTTGGGGGCACAGCCATCATCCGGCAGTGGTTTTTTTCACGCCCCGAATGATGATGATGATGGTGAACTATAGATTATAAACGTGTATTTTACTGACGTTTTGTGATGATATATAACTCTTGATTTAGGCGAGGTCACTTGCCATGCTTAGGTCTTCTCTAAAGACTCATTTGTTTCGCCTGCCCGACACTTCCCATGTATGACCCATTGGTCTCTGGACTTTGTATTGATTATATTTCTTAATTCTTGGTTCTTTCGGTCAAGTCACGTAGAAGGGAAACAATAAAATAATACAAATATAAAACAATAAAATTCTCACGACGTTTCGACTGCAACACAAGCAATCATCATCAGGTGTGAAAAACACAGCAAGAAAATGATTGTTTAATATTTTTATTATTTTATTATTTCCCTTCTCCGTGACTTTACCGAAAGAACCAAGAATATGAATCCCTGCAGTCACGAAACCTTTAAATCAAAGTTTATTTCTTAACTTCGTGCGTGGTGCACTGAGATCCCTGGATGAATTGCGCCTTGTAAATGTAAATGATGATTATGTTTTTCCAATGAGTATTGTGTCACCTTGTGTTGTGTCTCGCTGTCCATTTTCACCTGTGTTATTACGCACGTTGAATCCTCCTCTAACTCTTTACCGATTGCGCCTCGTTAAGATTGCGTGTCATTACGCTGTAGGCAATGAGTGTTCTCACCGTGGCGATCCGCTTCGTATTTGTGCGTGTGTCGAACACTCTGTACCGATTGTCACGTGTCGTCGTCCTGCGTGGCGTGTCATCGCTCGTGTCGTTGCGTCTTGTCGACACGTGTTGCCATGCCCCGCGTATTGCGTGTGTACACTGTGTGTGTGCTCATTGTCACCCCCCCCCCCATACCACGTGTGCAACCAGGTGTGGCGAAGCATGGACTGCACGCATTCGTAAAAATCGAGGTGCCCCTGCCATGCCCGGTGAGTGCCGACACCCCCCAGACTTAACGAAAACTGAACAATTCAAAAAATGTTACTCGGTAAGGCCCACGAAGCTGTTAGCTTATTTTTCAAAAGTGACCTGGCCGCTAATGATAGCTCAACGAAGTGGACATTTTTCTAGCAGCCAAATACTCTGAACGCGCGATGTCGATTCTACATGTGGAGGGAAAACAAGAGGACCTGGAGAAAAATCCACGCGACATGCAAACTCTCAATATACAGCACGCGTCGGCTTCGAGGTCGGACCCAATACCTAGTGTGCATACCGCTCACCAAGCCCAGCGTCATTCGCATTTAAAATGTTTTTATTTATTAATCCAGGAAAGCCACGCTGGAGTCGTAAGACTCTTTTTTTAAAATCCTTTATATTAAGTTCGCTTGCTTGCTTGCTTGCGTGCTTGCTTGCTTAGGACCGTGCAAATCTTTCGGTCGTTTTTTAACCCACTTCCCGTGATCCAATCGTGCTGACATTTTCCACACAGACTCGTTGTGCCAGACAATTATTGTTCGTGAAAAAAAATTCCCAAAATTTTACACTTTTTAGGCAAAAAAATGTATTTTACATATATTCAAATATAGCTCATTCATGGCTTTGGCTGAACGTCAGAGTGTAAGAGCCCAGAGCGTAACCCCTCCAAAGGCTGTGGCGGAGTAGCGCAGTTGGTAGAGCCCTCGCTTCCCATGCCAAAGGTCGCGGGATCGATCCCCGCGTCCTCCACAGGCGAATATATTTTTAAATCCTTTATATTAAGTTTGCTTGTGTGCTTAGGACCGTGCAAATCTTTCGCTCGTTTTTTAACCCACTTCCCGTGATCCAATCGAGCTGACATTTTCCACACAGACTCGTTGTGTGTGACAATTAATTTTCGTGAAAAAAAAATCCAAAATTTTACACTGTTTAGGGAAAACAAATTAAATATTTAATTACCAATTGCTTAATGGTGGCAGACAATCATCTGACCCATAGGTGGCAGCCATCTCAAGCCAGAGGACGAGAGGACTCTAGCCGCCACGCATATAAAGGATTTATAGTGAAAAACTTTGTTTTTACGGGTTTACTTGTTCAGGGTCCTGCTGCTGCTGCTTCATTGTTTTTTGTTGTTGATGTTTTAGGCTAATTAATAGCGAGTTCTGTTGTTATTTTTGTGGGGACGAAACCAGAGCACCCGGAGAAAACCCGCACCTTGCGCCAGGAGGGGGGGGCAACGCTCTATCCCCGTATAGATGAAATAAACAGGGCGATAAGTCCATTGCTTTACCGCCTTCTCTTGGCGAGCCAGCATACGGCTTCCTCCTCGACGCCCATAGGAAGGGAGTTTCGCGATAACATTTGTGTGGTGATCCACCAGCCGCCGCTGCCACCTTCACCAAGCCGCCACGTGTAGCCGCCAGCGCCCGACATGTTTGGATCATCTTCACGAGCTTTATCTTGACCCCCTGTTGCAGCCAGGTAGACGGCGCTAGTACGACAGCGAATCCGAGCCTTTAGTTCAGAGGTCGCAAACGGGTTTTGATTCCTTACCCGTACCCGTACCCGTACCCGGCCGCACCAGGGTCGCAAACGGGTACCCGTACCCTTCCCCGTCCACGGGTACCCGTACGCTACCCGTACCCGTACCCTACCCGAAATGAGTGACAAACGGTTACTCACCGGTGACTCACGGCTTACCCGTACCCGTACCCGGCCGCACCAGGGTCGCAAACGGTTACCCGTACCCGGCCGGGTATGGATAGCCAGGTATCGGGTAGGGTACGGGTATCGGGTACCCGGTTGCGACCTCTGCTTTAGTTGGAAAAACGTGAAGAGGTTGGCGGCAGCCTGTACGTACGTATGTTGAAATTATTTCGCGCCGTACGTAGCCAACCGTGCCAATCTCAAGTTCTAGATTTGAAGCTTCACTCACTTGATACAGTAAATCTAGCTGTGACGGTCCCACCTCATGACGGAGACTTGTGTTGCCTCCGAAACGTTGTGATTCATAATTCTATTTCTATTATTATTTCAATTATTTGAACTTTTTATTATTTATTTTTACCTACGTGACTTTACGGGAAAAAAAACCTAAGAGTAACAATCTCAAGTTGCCGGCGAAGGACGTCAAAAGGAATGAGCTTAACCCGGTGACGCTCGCGAATGTTTTCTTTGGATGCAGAAGGCGTCCCAGAGGGAGAAGACGGGCACGCAGAGCGGCACGTGCCCAGGTCAGTCGCCACCCCCCCCCCCCCTCTCTGCTGCTGGGTTTGGTGTCTGTCTGTCTGTCGTCTGTGGGTGACCTCCGTGCGTGTCTTGCCGGAGTAGAGTTTAAATTTTGATGTAAGGTTTCGTGACCGCAGGGATTCATATTCCTGGTTCTTTCGTTAAAGTCACGTGGAAGGGAAATAATAAAGTAATGAAAATATAAAAGAATAAAAAATCTTTGACACGTGATGACGATTGCTTGTGTTGCAGTCGAAACGTCGTGAGAATTTTTATTGTTTTGTATTTTTATTATGTTTATTATTATTTTATTATTTCCCTTCTACGTGACTTTACCGAAAGAACCAAGAATAGGAGTAGAGTTTGTCTGTGTCTGCGCGCCGCAAACGCAGTTCGTGTGTCTCATCGCTTTCAGAATGTCACGCGTGTGTCTGTGTGTCCTTTGCGTAGCTGGTGTGTCTGTGTCTTGCTTGTTGCAATTAGAGTTCATGTTGATGAAACAATAAGAATAGGTTTTAGCCTTTCTGGCGTTAAACAGGAGGTGTGAAGATGTCCAAACACCAAATAGGCACCAAGTCTGCATGAAACACACACACATACTTGTGGCAAAACATGCAAACAACATACTCGGATAATGTATACATCATCTTTCAAACTGGCCTACACCATCTTCTTGGTTCTTTCGGTAAAGTCACGTAGAAGAGAAATAATAAAATAATAAAATAAAACAAAATACAATTCTCACGACGTTTCGGCCACAACGCAAGCAGCCGTCCTCAGGTGAAGAACAGGTCTGTCGGAAAGACAGCGTCTGAATGAACACCACCAAGCTTGGCAGCGTATATTTAAGCTGGGTTAGGGGAGGAAGGGCGCCTTGACAAAGGAATTTGCATATCAGCAGAGGAATTTAGCATATGTAAAATGCAGATATGGGATTAGTCACTACTTGTGGAATGTGTAGGAGGTGGGGTCTCAGTCATATTATGCTCGTGTATTATGTAGGATTAGCAGTAATAAACGGAGGAAGTAGGGTTAGCAGTAATAAAGGGAAGGAATTTTAATAGTAAGGAGCTGCAACACCAGATATACAGCCTTCTCTCTGGTTTCCAGGAAGGGTAAAACCTATTCTTATTGTTTCATCATTTTGATACTGGAAATAAGGTCCCAAGATAGAGTTCACGTGTCTGTGTGTCGCTCGCAAGGTTCACTTGCGCGTCTGCGTGTGTCGTACTTATTTTACGTTAATCTACTCTGACCACTTTTCCCGCGGCACATCCAAGCGAAGTCGCCGCGGGACCCTCGGCACCAGTCGGGTTTTCCACGGGCTGTTTGCCAAGCCGAGCCACCACCAAACCGTGGTACTTCTGGCTTCTCGAGACACTTGAATCTGGCGTCTCGACCCGTTAACTGCGCGCGCCCTTCGGTGACCACCAGGCTCGGGTTCTGCAGTGGAAAAACGAGACTAAAACTAAACTAAACTTTTTTTTAATTTGACCAGGTAAGGTCCCGTGAGCTATGTTGTAGCTCTTCTTCACAAGCGACCTGGCCACAAATGATAGCTCAACGAAGTGGCTCATCACGTGGATATGTATAGCAGACAAATACTCTAAACCCACGTGCATTCTAAATGCGGAGGGAAAAACCAGAATACCCGGAGAAAAATCCACGCGACCACGGGGAGAACATGCAAACTCCAATTGTACAGGCGTCAGGGTCGGGATCGAACCCACGACCTCCTGCATACCGGGCGAGCTGGTTAACATCTCGCCACAGCGGCGCCACAACTGGGAGCTTCCTGAGCCGCGTGCCAGGCTGGCTCGGCACAGCCCCGGCGCAGCTTTGGCGCACAGTGGAAAACCGGTGTGCACCCGTGTGTCCTTTGCAGAGTTCAACGAGAGCTTCAAGTTCACTCTGCAGCGTGGGTCTCTTGGGTTCCTCAACGCTGTGCGCCAAGGAGACATCTCCTTCCTGCTACTCCACAAGGGGTGAGGGCGGCGGTCGGGATGAGGTCGGAAGGTGGAGGTCAAAGGGGCAGAGGGTGGGGCAGGGGTGGCGCGTGGGGTTAACTAACGGCTTCTGGTTGACGGTGCTTCTGTGTGTATGTGTGTGTGGCCTTGCCCGGATGTGGTGCTGGCCACCCCCACCCCCTCGTGTGCTGTGCCGGCCTTCATCGTTGCTCGCTAACAGCACTTGCCCCAACAATCTGTTAAGGCTATACCGGGGATTGTTGTATGCGTGTGTGTGTGTGGTCTTTTTGGATGTGGTGTTGGCCACCCACCAACATAGTGTGCAGTTCTGGCCTTCATAGGTGCTACTCGCTAACAGCACCTGCCCCAACAGTCTGTTGAGGCTATACGGAGGATCTTTGTCTTTGTGTGTGCACAGCCCACTGGGAAGTGAGTGGGCTCTGGGGGAAGCTGTGCTGGGGCTTCGCGCTCTGCTCGGTCGCTGTGAGGTGACGGCGACCTTACCGGTACATTGACGCCAACGCTGCTGCTGCTGCCATCGCTGCTGCTGCTGCCACTGCTGCTTCCACTGCTGCTGCTGCCACTGCTGCTTCCACTGCTGCTGCTGCCACTGCTGCTGCCGCTGCTGCTGCCACTGCTGCTGCTTCCACTGCTGCTGCCACTGCTGCTGCTGCTGCCCGCTGCCACTGCTGCTGCCACTGCTGCTGCTTCCACTGCTGCTGCCACTGCTGCTGCGCCACTGCTGCTGCTGCCACTGCTGCTGCTGCTGCCACTGCTGCTGCTGCTGCCACTGCTGCTGCCACTGCTGCTGCTGCCACTGCTGCTGCCACTGCTGCTGCTGCCACTGCTGCTGCTGCCACTGCTGCTGCTGCCACTGCGCATATGCCCCCCCTATGTCTGTACTAGCCCGGTCATAGGCCAACCATACATAACCCTGTCCTAGCCCAACTCTAACTCCGTCCTAACGTTGTCCTATTTCCACACTATGCTATCCTAACCCCCATCATAAATCTATCCTGACTTTGTCCGAACACTGAACTAGCCCCGTTCCAGTCCTAACCCTTGCCCCGTCCTAGCGCTGTCCCAATCTGACTCGAGCACTGCGTTTACAATGTAGGTAAGAATTTAAGAGGCCTTTGTGCTCTCCACTGCTGGATGAAGGCCTCCCCCATGCCGCTTCGGTCACGGAAGAATATTTGACCATACTTTGCCAAACTGGTCGGTGTGAGTTGTGGGAAGAGCCCTGTTCTATGCCAGCCCTAACCCTGTCTCAACAGCCCCATGTTATCCCTGTCTTTGAGTTCTAACCCTCTCATAGCTAGCCTAGCCTTAGCCTTTGGCGCGCCCTGCCATTGTGTCCAGCTACACATAGTACCTGATCGAATTGAACGCCTACCGAGTCACTCCAGTCTCTCGCTTGCTCCCGTGAACTTCAAGCGTGGATTTCTTCACCCATGTTGATGAGACTCGGTCTGCCAGACACTGACTTTCATCTCATCCTCCACACCGTGTTCAGCGACCACACTGCAGGTCACAGCAACACACTCAATCGCTCACCCGCTCACTCGCTCACCCGCTCACTCGCTCACCCGCTCACCCGCTCACCCACTCACCCGCTCATTCGCTCACCCGCTCACTCGCTCACCCGCTCACTCGCTCACCCGCTCACCCGCTCACCCGCTCACCCGCTCACTCGCTCACTCGCTCACCCGCTCACTCGCTCGCTCGCTCGCCCGCTTACCCGCTCACCCGCTCACCCGCTCACTCGCTCACTCGCTCACTCGCTCACTCGCTCACTCGCTCACTCGCTCAAATCGCTCACCACACCAGAGGTCACAATACATCTCTTTCTGCCTCCTGCCTTGCACTGCTGCACTTTAAAATCCCCTCCCGTCATCACTTCTCCCAAGCCCTTATAATAACCTTGCGCAATTCAGGAAACGTGTTAACTCTTGCGAATTACAGCTTTCAAAGTGCTGCTTGTTATTGGCCGACGACCATTTAGGCCTTTGGGACTGGGCTTCAACAGCCGTGTCCATGAAGTAATAACAATAATTATCGCGACCTCTGACTCACAGGAGGTTGTGCTAACCCTGACCCCCGACCCCCGTGGCGTGAATAGCTCCGAAGGTCGGGCCGGGAGGGGGAGGGGTCGCGGGGGGCGGCGGGCTCCGTGGACGTGCGGGTGCGCGCGCGTTCACCCCTGGGGGGCGGCTGGGACCTGGAGGAGGTGGAGGAGGAGTGGCTGCAGCTGAACCCCGTGCACACGCATGTACGTGCGCACGCACGCACACGCATGCACACACGCGTGCACTCGTACCCGCATGTGCACACATGTGCAAAGGTCTCCTGTGTAGCCTTTAACAGACTGTTGGGGCAAGTGCTGTTAGTGAGCCGCTGTTAGTGAGCCGCTGCGACACACGAGGGGGTGGGTGGCCAGCACCACGCCAGACCGCCTTTGTCTCCCTAGTGGCGACGTTTACACACCGTACCAGGTACTGACTTGAGGCTGAGTCGACCTTGTGGGGGCTCAGGACGTGAGTGGGAATCATGCTCGGGTCGCCAGGTTCGTAGGTGCAGCGCGCTAACGACTGTGCTAACGCTCCCCAAAAAACAAAGACAAAGATCCCCCGTATAGCCTTAACAGACTGTTGGGGCAAGTGCTGTTAGCGAGCACCTATGAAGGCCTGCACAGCACACGAGGGGGTGGGTGTCCAGCACCACGCCCGACCGCCTTTGTCTCCCTAGTGGCGATGTTTACACACCGTACCAGGTACTCATTTGAGGCTGAGTCGACCTAGGGGGACCGCTTCAGATAATCGTCACTGGTGTTGGCCGTGAGTGGCAATCGAACTCGGGTCGCCGGGTTCGGAGCGCAGCGCGCTAACCGCTGCAATGCCGCTCCCCCGCACACATGCACACAAACACCGACTGACACCCACACACGCCCACGCGCGCAGGTGCTGTGGTACGTTAATAACAGCCTTGTGGAGTAATCCTTCTCATATGTCGGGCCTCTCTCTCTCCTGAATAATGCTGCATCTCAATTGCAGCCTGGGTCGAGACTGGGTAGTGTTCGGATGGGCGGCCGTCGCCGCACACAAAGCCGTGCCGTGGGGTTCAGCGGCGCTGCCTTGCCTGCAGAGGGCGGTGCAACAGCGTCCATATACGTCAGAGGTCGCAACCGGGTACCCGATACCCGTACCCTCCCCGATACCCGGATACCCGTACCCGGCCAGGTACGGGTACGGGTACCCGTTTGCGACCCTGGTGCGGCCGGGTACGGGTACGGGTAGACCGTGAGTCACTGGTGAGTAACTGTTTGTCACTCATTTCGGGTAGAGTACGGGTACGGGTAGGGAACGGGTACCCGTGCCCGGCTGGGTACGGGTACGGGTACCCATTTGTGACCCTGGTGTGGCCGGGTACGGGTATGGGTAAGGAATCAAAACCCGTTTGCGACCTCTGATATACGTCCCCCCACCTCCGCTACGAACCCGGCTGCTCGTGTTCAGTTCCCGCGGCCACGGCCGACATCGGTGGCGGCGAGTACTACCCGGAAGACCGTTGCGGTTGTCTCCTCGTTGAGCGGCCCGCGCTGACCGCGTGACGAAGCACGATAAAGCGAAACCCCCCCCCACACCAACGACCCGCACCACATGGTGCGGTCCTCATCCAGCAGTGGATCGCCACACACGGGGCTGTGCAATGCGCACGAACACACGGAGCCCCCTCGCGAACGGGAACAACGTTCCAACTCGCTTGTTTTTCCCCGCCCCCGCCCCACCCACCCACCCCCCACATCTTCTCCCGGTAAAATAAAATTTCCAACCTCTACATCGAACGCGTGTGCGTGCACGTGCGCGCGCTCCCTTCCCACGGCAGAAATCCCTTTAACGCTAAGTCGGAGTGAAAGCATGCTCCCTCACTCACACGCAACCCCCCCCCCCCTCTCCACCGCCACCCCGACACAGTCTCTGGGAACAGCTGAGCCGATCCGCGGTTCCCGGGGTCTGTTTCGTTGCCGAGCCAAACCCCGGCGTATGGCACGGTTTAACAGCCATTAGCGGCTGCTCGCGAGCGCTGCCGGTAATCGGAGGCAGCTGTGCCGGCGGTGGGGAGCCGCATGCGCGACCGCCCCTCCCCCCCCTCCCCCCCTCCGCCCCTCCACCAAAAGTGACCGGCGCTGGGCCAAACGGCTGCGGCAGCGAACGAGCTAGGGGCTAGCGAGCGGCGCTCGCGTGCCAAGCGGGTGGCGCGTCCAAAGGGATGCGTTGTGTTTCTGTTGCCGGGGTTGTTCCGGGAGGTTTAATTAATTGGCAGCGAATGCCAAGAGTAAATCCGCAGACGTGCGAAGATCCGTCCGGGTGAATGTCGCGAGCGTTACTACCCCCTCCCGTAGCCGTAGCCGGTAGCACCGGGCTCATCGGAGGTCAGTCGCCTCCTTACCGCCCTTCTGCCGCTACTACCACCACCACCACGGTTACTGCTCGCATGAGCCTCGCCCGTTGATTCTTTCCACCCGTGTTGAGGAATCGCGTCTACCTGGTTGACTGTTGCATCTCATCCACCACCGCACAGCAGGTCAACAACATATTCACTCGCCCACCTCACTCAAACGCTCACCTACTTACCCACCCACTCACCCTGCTGCAGGTCACAACGCTTTTCTCCGTGCATCCTTTCGCACTGGCTACAGCGGGGAGATCGTTGTCTTTGCTTTGTCCTGTGTACCTTGAGCCGGGTCGGGTAGGCAAGGTAGGCGAGGGGCAGGGTCTCCCGTGACGATCGCTAGGCCTCGCCTTGCTTAGCATCTGAGCCTGCATGGGCCTCTGTTCTGTGACGAAGAGAGGTCCTGGCATCGGCTGAGTGAGATGTTTTATGCCGGGGCCGTTTTCACAACGAGGGTCACTGAATGGGAGGATGGGGGTGGGGGGGGCATGCACAGGTTGCCCATCCCCCACACCTATGTGGGGGACGGGGGGGGGGGGCAACATGGGCACAGCAGTTGAAAGCCGCTGGGCTGTCTTTTGCTGAGATTGAGTGTTGTGTTGCAGGTGATACTGTCCGGCAGGGGCGTGGAAATTGATCCCAGCAGGTAGGACTTTCCAACCACACGCACCGACGCACACACACACACACACGTACGCGCCACAGTCGTGAGCCGGGGGTCGTAGCCTGCCGCGGGGGCTACGTCGTTAGTCAGCAAGGGTCGGCGCAGCAAAAGCCGTTGTTGTACCGCACTATGCGCCGACGTTTACGCTCCCCCACCTTTAACCCGTGCGGACCCTGCGTGGCGAAGTGCTGCCGATTAGCCCCCACGACCCCGACGGCGTGGGGTCGTGGGTCGAGGTGGGGTGGTCCCTCATCCAGCAGTGTATTGGACATGCGCATTGCAGATGCTGGTTGCTTCACTCGGCTTGTGTCACAGAGGGCGAGCTTGCCACGTGTCCTGCAAGGGAGGCGCGGTAATAAATATCAAGCGATGATCATGATGGAATGTACATTGTGGAAGTGGGATTTTGTCGGGCATCTGTTTATTGTAATGTTCAACCAGTTCTGGTGGTCAGGACTGGGGAAAAAATGGTTTCTCATGGTTACTAAACCCTTTTGTTCGATGCCGTGTGTTTGTGTGTGTGTGTGCGCGCGCGTGTGTGTGGGAAGCGGTAGTTTAGCAGTTAGTGCGCTGCGCTACGATCCCAGCAACCAAAGTTCGATTCCTGCTCATGGCCAACACCAGTGACTATTTTCTGAAACGATTTTCTGGGCCTCCCCTAGGTCGATTCATCCTCAAATGAGTACCTGGTGCGATATGTAACATTGCCACTCGGGAGAGAAAGGCGGCCAGGCGAGGTGTTGCCCACTCACCACTTCGTATGCCGTGCCCGCCTTCATAGGTGCTCACTAACAGCAGTTGCCCCAATGGTCTGTTAAGGCTATACGGGGGATCTTTATCTCTTGTGCACGTATGTGGGGAGCGGTAGCAGATTGGTTTGTGCACTGCGCTACTAACACGGCGACCCGAGTTCGATTCCTGATCACGGTCGACATCGGTGACGATTCTCTGAACTGGTTCTGGGCCTCGCCTAGGTCGACTCGGACTTTAGTAAGTACCTGGTGCGCCATTGCGTAAACATCACACCTGGGCTCGGCGCTGGTCACCCACCCACCTCGTGTGACCGGTCCCCAGTTACGGGTGCTCGCTTTGACAACACTTGCCGCAACAGTCTGTTAAAGGCTACCCCGGGGGCGTGGGGATCTTTGTCTTTGTGATGCAGCCTGGACGTGGCGAGCGTGGAGGTGCTCGCTCTGGAGCGGAAGCTGCTCGAAAGTCAGGTGACTCCTCGGGCTCACATCGCCACTCCTTCCCTCGTTTCAACAAACAACACAAAAACATTCCCATTTTAAGCCTGCCATGTGTTTCGTCATCACTGTAGCCTGGCAGCCGACGCATTGCTCGTGAGACACACGCCAGCGTGCAGCGCGAGAGAGAATGAGATCATTAAGTGAACTGTGAAAAATCACATCGTACCATAAGATTGTCATCCATCACTCCTGTAAACGTTTCGCAAAGTCAAGAATTTAGCAGATACAAATATATACTTGTAACTTGAATGTCGCGTTTGCTATTTCGTGTAGTGTGTATGTTGTCTGCGTGTAAAACGTGTTCTCTTAAAACAAAACGGGTGACGATAATCACGATAACGGCGATAATTTAGCTAACAGACGATATGAATTTCGTGAGCGTTATACCTCATTGCACCGTCATAGCATTCGCCGCTTCGCGGACAGCCTAAATGCTACTACTGCTGCCACTGTTGCCACTACTGCCAATACTGCCACTACTGCTCCTGACACTGATGCCACTGCTACCCCCGCTGTTGCCACTGCCACATGCCACTGCTGCTGCTGCCACCACTGATTCCCCCGCTGTTGCCGCTGCCACCTGCTGCCGCTGCTGCCCCCTGCAGCTGGCGGTGTACCTGGAGATGGGGCGCACGCCCTCGCCGGCGCTGGCGCAGCGCTTCATGCTGCTGGGCCGGCAGGAGGAGTGGCTGAGGAGTCAGCTGGAGGCCGGCGACGACACGACGGTGCACGGTGAGCGCCGGGGCAACTCGCGCTCACGCGCTTCAAAGATGCGGGGGTGCCGGGGGGGTGGGGCGAGGGGGAGGGCAGGGGGTGCAGGGTGGGGGAGGGCGGAGGGGGCGGGGGTTGGAAGGTAACGCCCTGCCGAAACAACACGAGTCGGGTTTCCGACCGGCGGCGGCCGAGAGTGGAGCTCACGTGGCAACCTCAAGTGGCATCACGAGTGGAGATGTTTTTTTGGGAGTGAGAGGTCCTCGGTGAGCGGTCATAGGTGAGAGACGTTGAGGTCAGACTTAATTTGTGAGGGGCTGTGGATTTGAGTGGTCCGAGGGGTGAGAAATGAATCAGATTCAGAATATGTATTTATGCTGGAGGAATCCGATGAGATCTAAATCTCTTTTTCACGGATGTCCAGTATGTCCAGTACTCCCCCCCCCCTCGTCCCACAATTGTGGGACGAGGGGGGGGGGGTCACGTAGTGACTGCTCCTTGGGCGAGAGGTCGTGGTGCGAGGGTGCGGGAGCTCCATTGGAACCTCATTTGCCAGTAAAAAATATGATAATTGGATTTTTACCCTTTTATCTGGCAACAAAACTGACACCAATGGTGTAAATGCTTACCCTGAGCTCTCATACTCTGATGGTGCAGCATTGTCTTTGAGTTGTGCGCCTTTTGGCGTCATCTGGTCCAACACCATGTGAGACTAGGCTCTAAGGAAAGCTGTCTCGGGTGTGGACCAATCAACTTCAAGGACAGTGCATACATTATCAGAGTTATGTTTTTTGTTTGCATTATGACTGCAGGTATTGTGGTCTATGCAAACATGACTCCTTGTAAAAAAGGTGTCAGTTTTGTTGCCAGATAAAAGGGTCAAAAAACCAATTATCGGTGCGGGATCTCTCCGTGTCGCACAGACTACGTGGCGTGGCTGATGGTGCTGGCCCGTCGCTACTGCGAGGAGGTGCGCCGGAGGAGACGTCTCGGGGTCGACGAGGAGGAGGGTGCTCGCCTCGCCGCTGCAAAGCACCGTGCCGTCCTCGCAGAGGTGATGGGGTCATGGGGGTCACGGGGTCACGGAGTTGAGGTCACCAGATCGCTGCCTTTTATTATTATTATTATTTGTTTTGATTTCGCTTGTTTACCCAGGGAAGCATTCCCCGATTCTCGCGACTCTTTTTCGGTGAGCTTGGGTCTCGCCCCGAGGTTTTTCGCACTTCGTGAGGCTCTCTCTCGCACGGCGGATTGAAATTGAGGACCCCCTCCACTTGCTGATGAGACCCAGAGAAGTTGAAAACCACTTTGTGGGTGGCGGTTTTAATGCTTAAGAACGCGCGTTGCAGGAAAACAGCGGTCAAGAATTGGACCCGAGAGGCCCCGATGATGGACGCGGACGAAATTTTATTTTATATTTAGTAAGCATAACAACAGATCCAGCGTGCGTTCCACAACTATTAACTGCTATTACACACTACGTCGCGTGGGTCTGCATGGAAATTGCCGTCAAAATTTATTGGTTCCGTTCCAGCACAGCGTTCCGTTAACATCTACGCGGCGAGCCCGCCCATCCCCGGTGGCAGACCGCAAATTGCTCCGTGGTGGCGCGCGTCGTCTGCCCCGAGCGGTGATGCCATGCGAATCCAAGTCGGGTTCCAAGCGAGTGGAGTAATTACAGACTGGCAACCAGAACCCCCCCCCCCACCCACCCACCACAACGGAGACGTCAATGGGAGCTCTTAATGACGCGGAACGTAATTTATAAAAAAAAAAAATTCTTTCCAGGAGGGTTCGGAAGCATTGGGGTGTTTGGACAAATTCTACGGATGCGTAATGCGATATTCTCCCGATTGTACGACGCGCTCCGGAATGTTAAGACGGCCCGCCTCGTACTTTTGAGGTTGTTTAGAAACCAAAAATTATAATAATAATTATTATTATTACTCCGCAGTACGCGACGGCCCCAGCAAAGTGGGGAAACGATAATTTTTTTTTGCTAAAAATATTTCACGTGGGAAACCCCCTTTTCGGAGGTGGGGGGTGTTAGAAGTTTTCCCAAGTTTTATTTTGCGTAACCCGGTGAGAAACTGAAAGAGTCCAGGTGGAGTCTGGACTCTTTGTGCTCTAGGGCATGAATCTGCCAGTAGAGGGGGGCGATGATCGCGAAGTGAGTCCATGTACAGATAGTCCCCGAGTTACGATATTTCGATCTTACGATGGCGATAGCGATACGACAAAATTGTGAAATATTCTAAATTTCGCGCGGCAGGCAAACGCAGCAGCGTACGATAAGTTCCAATGCATGTATGATACGTAGCATTAGCGATTTCATTTTAGGGTTACCACGATACGATACGTTCAATGCATGTTAAAAGATTTTGTAGCAGATAGGATTGTTTCCTGAAAACAACTTTCTATTAAATTGCAGTTCATATAGGTAGGCTAAGAATTTACTTAACATTTTACTGTGCAATACAGTTTTGTAATTTATAAATACATACAGTATATAGTTTATACAGTACGGTACTGTAAATCGCTCTGTTTTGCTAAATTATCACCATTCTTTAAGACTCCTGGGTAGGCTAGGCCATCTTCGACTTACGATATTTTTGACTTACGATGGGGTCGTCGTAACGCATCTCCATCATAAGTCGAGGACTCCCTGTATCTCTACGTGAATCTGTGTGTGTCTCTGTGCGAGTGTCTGTCTCTACGCGAGTCTGCGAGACCGTGGGCATTAGTCGACAGGTAGGGGGACGATGATTGCTTCCTGTATAACCCCAATTGAGTAATTTGCGGTGTCGCATTTTTCTAATTTGGCAACTTTGGACGCTGACGCCGGGCACGCGATGGGCCTAATTTTAGCCGAACCACGCCGGGGGATCTTGAACGTCCACCACGAGCGAAGCGGTATTTACGGTTACTCCCCACTGCGGTAATATCCGGGGCGGCGGCTGGATTTGGAACGGTGACCCTCTGCAACAACGAGCGGGCCGTCGACCCGTTGCCGATTTGCCGCTTTGCCGATTTGCCAGGGTGTCCAGGGTGGTTGACGTCTGCGGTGCCGGAGCGCTGCTCATTCATTCAGTTACCCGAACATCCCGACTGTTGAAGCTAGTGCTGTGGTGAGAACCGCTGTGGCTTTCCTGGAGTGGAGTAATTCATCTCCGTTGTCTACCTCGACACGAGCGATTTGGGCCATTAAGAGCTCAGGTTGAATTTCGATTTAAAGCTTTCGTGACTGCAGGGATTAATCTTCTTGGTTCTTTCGGTAAAGTCACGTAGAAGGGAAGTAATAAAATAATATTTTATTATGTTTTATTTTTATTATTTTATTACTTCCCTTCTACGTGACTTTACCGAAAGAACCAAGAAGATGAAGCTCAGGTTCAGTCTCCCCCCCAGCCTCCCCCTCACACTCCCCCCTCCCCGCCCCCCCCACTCTTGTGTGGTGCATTTTCTCCGGGTTTTCTGAGCCCTTCGGTTTCCTCCCACGTCAAAGCACAGCACGGATTCATGCTGCCGGCCCAACATTCCTCTGTCGCGGTCGAGCCTCGCGGCGTTACCTCCTGTTGCTCAGATTGAGCATTGAGAAAAGGCGTTGGTGATCATCTCCTGTGTACAGCCTCTGCAGAGCCAGTGGTGGGAATTCCACGTGATGAGTCTATCCCATAGCAGGAGCCACTGTTGACTTCACCCACAAAGTGGTACTTGGTTTAGTTGACCTCCCGCGAAGGATGATGGGCTGAGCCAACCCACCCTCCCCTCGAACGGGTGTTTGAACTCTCAATCGGCCAGATCGACGTAGTAGGACCCCCACTGAGAAAGTTTTGACACTTGGGCTGTCCTGGGGTAATAATCTGCATGGTTATTACGATAACTGTTTGGAGTATCTGCCATGCTTGCGTATGAACTGCGTTCGCCATCTCGACCTTCTCACAGATCTCTCTCTACAAGCGGTGAACGTCGCCGATCATGATGGTATCGTCGTGACGATGGGTGGCATCACTATGACGACGGCTGGGATCGCCGTGGTGACGGGGATCGGCGTGACAACGGGGAGATCGCCGTGACGACAGGGATCGCCGTGGTGAAGGAGATCGGCGTGACAACGGGGAGATCGCCGTGACGACGGGGATCGTCGTGGTGACGGGGATCGCCGTGACGACGGGGAGATCGCCGTGACGACGGGGTGATCGCCGTGACGACGGGGAGATCGCCGTGACGACGGGGATCGCCGTGACGACGGGGTGAAGTGTGTCCCTACGAATACCAGTTCCCTCTTTCCCGGCGGCACTGAGAATGGTGGAGTCTTTTTAGCCGCGGCAGAAAAAAATTTGTAAATAGTTTATGGTCCTGTGGAACTGTGGTCATTTATATTTTGTTGATACTTAGAGCAAACAGTGTCAATAACGAATTAAATAATGGTTGGATTTTTTTGTACAAAATGTAAATATTTAAGGCACAGTGCTGGTGTAAATTATGAATGTTTATTTATTGTTGGGAGCAAGGTCATTGCACAGGGACACGCGCGCCCACGCATGCAGACGAGAATCACCTGCGTGTGCACGCACACAAAGACAAAGATCCCCCGTGTAGCCTTAACAGACCGTTGGGACAAGTGCTGTTAGCGAGCGCCTAATAAAGGGCTGGCACGGCACACGAGGGGTTGGGTGGCCAGCACCACGCCCGGCCACCTTTGTCACCCTAGTGACAATGTTTTAAACACAGCACCAGGTATTATTCATTTGAGGCCGAGTCACCCTAGGGGAGCCCCAGGCCCGGTTGAGATAATCGTCACTGGTAGAGGCCGTGAGCGGGAATCTATCTCGTGTCGCCGGGGTTTGGAGCGCAACACTCGCCGCACGCGCACGCACGCACGCAACCATACGCGTGCATACGTGAGTAAGCAGGCAAATGCGTACAGATGTGCCCACACACACACACAAGTTACGTTTATTTGTTTAACCAGGGTGAGACTCATTTGCAAGAGTGACCTGGGCGTACACACTCGGATACACAATTGCACACCCATAAATGTGCACGCACTCGCCCATATATGCTTGTCACTCAAGTGACGGTGATGCCAAGAAGCTATTTTTCGTGCCAAGCTCGGTGCACGGGTGAGGACACGTGAAGTGTCGAAGGGCCTCGCTCGGTGTGGTAGGAGGTCACGGCACAGGCCAAGAAGGTAAATTTTCCGAGATTATCTAACTAAACACATTCCTGCGGAGGGAGCTGGTAGGAACGTTGGGTTGCTCGGTCAATGGCCAGGGTCAACGGCGGCGTGGTGTATTCCGCAAATATGCCCGACTGTGAGGGCGGGCACAAGCCGGCGTGAGTAGGTTAAACGTTGAGTTTTATAAGGGCACCACGGGGTGACCAGCCCCTCCCCACCCAGCCCCACCCCTCCCACCCCCCACCCAGCCCCACCCTCCCCAACCAGCCCCTCCCCACCCTCCCCTCCCCACCCGGCCCCTCCCCACCCTCCCCTCTCCACCCAGCCCCACCCCTCCCATTTTTGGATGCACGCCGGACGGAGGGACACAATAATCCCCTGTGGGCTGGTGTAACCAGGAGGTTCCTACCAGTACTAACTAATAACTTGTTATTTGACCAGGTCAGGCACGCCGAGTGATATAGCTCTTCTTCAGACGTGACCTGGCCACAAGTGATATAGCTGAGAGTGCCTCATGCGGACATTTGTAGCAGCCAAATTGTCTCAACGCGCGACTTCGATTCTAAATTGAGGGGAAAACCGGAGGACCCGGAGAAAAATCCACGCGACCCCAGGGAGAGACACGCAAACCAGAGGTCGCAAACGGGTTTTGATTCCTTACCCGTACCCGTACCCGGCCGCACCAGGGTCGCAAACGGGTACCCGTACCCGGCCATACCCGTACCCTACCCGTACCTCTGGGATGAAGCCATGTTGCAGGCGCGGGTGGGTTGATTCTAGGAACTTGAATTGTGAGAAGAGTCAAGACGTTGGGAAATGAGTGACAAACAGTTACTCACCAGTGACTCACGGCCTACCCGTACCTGTACCCGGCCGCACCAGGGTCGCAAACGGGTACCCGTACCCGGCTGGGTACGGGTAGCCGGGTATCGGGTAGGGTACGGGTATCGGGTACCCGGTTGCGACCTCTGACGCAAACTCCAAATATGCAGCAGCAGGCATCAGGGTCGGGATCGAACCCACGACCTCCTGCATACCGGGCGAGGGAGTTGACATCTCCTAGCCACCACAGAGGTGACTCGCAGGTGTGCAGTGCCCCCTCGCTGTGCCACCTTGGTGCGTTTTATCCGCCCGGGGCTCGGCCCGTTGTTGTGAGCGTCTCTGCTCCGCGCTCGCCACAACCGCAGTATTTACCGCCGAGCGTGGCGAGCGATGTGGTGGGGGCAGGGCCCGCTGTTTGCCCTGAAAGAAACGTGTAACAAATCACGGCGCATTTGTAAATAACATTCAAAACAGACGGGGTTAAATCTTTACAAGCACGATGGGGCGAGTTAAAATCGCGGCGGCGGCAGCAATGGTGGTGTTAGCAGGGCCTACAGCGGTGGTGCTTTCACACAGCCCCCCGGCGACCCGAGTTCGATTCTACATTGTTCCCGGTCCACTTGTGAGCCATACCCAGCCTTTTACACGCACCTTTACATCAGCCGCACCTAGTTTACACAACAAAGGCTCATTCCTAACGGCGTGCTTCAGCCGCACCGAACCTCACAAAAATAATATTCAGGGCCTACCTTGGCTCCTCCCACCCTCAACCAGTATATATACAAGGACTGTGTTCTTGGAATTTCTCTCACTTGATACAGCTATCGTGCTGTGACGGTTCCACCTGAAGACGGAAGCTTGTGTTGCCTCCGAAACGTCGTGATTTTTATTTTATTTTTATTTGACTTTTATTAATTAAAAAAAAATTACCTGCGTGACTTTACCGAAAAAACCTAAGAATATGAATCCTTGCAGTCACGAAAGCTTCAAATCTAGAACCATACCCAGCCCTCAGCTCGGCGTGGTCCGTTCAGATTCGCTGTGAGATTCGCGACGGCCTGTGCTGTTCCCTCATACGCGGAAGGCCTGGACGCACACAGGCATGTGTGTGTACGCTCAAACAAAAGACAAAGATCCCCTCTATAACCTGAACAGATTTTGAGGCAAGTGCTGTTAGCAAGCATCAATAAAGTACAATATGGCACACGAGGGAGTAGGTGGCCAGCACCACGCCCGACCGTCTTTGTCTCCCTTGTGGCGATGTTTACGCATCGGGTACTCGCTTGAGGCTGAGTCGACCCAGGGGAGGCCCAGGACTGGTTCAGATACTCGTCACTGGTGTTGGTTGTGAGCGGGAATGGAACTGGGGTCGCCTGGTTCGTAGTAGCAGCGCGCTGACCGCTAACACTGCCGCTCCGCACGTGCATACAAGCACGTGTTGTGCACGTAGACACGTACGCACCAAAGACGAGGCACGCACGTGTGCGTACACAGTTGTTTGAAGTGAAATTTGCATAAAAGTCGAAGCAAAGCTATCGCGTGCCTGCTGAAAGCTATGCATGTGTTTTGTTGTTGATCGCTTTGTAATATCTTGCTTTATAAAGTGTAAAGGGTGATGTACGTTTTGCACGCAGCTCCAGGTACTCGTTTCGAGGCCGAGTCAACCTAGGCGGAGGTTCGGTTCAGATGAAGTGTGCTTTGTTAAAATAAATACTACCTGCTGTGTGTCCTGACTTTTGTGCCACCCTGTGTCATCGACACTGTGCACAGGACAAACACCCAACGCTTTCGTCAACACTGTTCTGTCCTTGTGTTTGTCAGCAGAGGGCAGTGCAGTACCAGCTGTTGTACTCTACTCCTATGCTCCCATTGGCTAAACCGTACCCCCCCCCCCCACGTGGCCATCATGCAGCATATTTGGAGTTTTCGTCTCTCATCATCACGGTGGCTAGGAAATGTTAACTACCTCGCCTGGTCTACAGGAGGTCGTGGGTTCGATCACGACCCCGACGCCTGCTGCTGCTGTATATTTGGAGTTTGCGTCTCTCATCATCATCACGGTGGCTAGGAGATGTTAACTACCTCGCCTGGTCTGCAGGAGGTCGTGGGTTCGATCACGACCCTGACGCCTGCTGCTGCTGTATATTTGGAGTTTGCGTTTCTCATCATCACGGTGGCTAGGAGATGTTAACTACCTCGCCTGGTGTACAGGAGGTCGTGGGTTTGATCACGACCCTGACGCCTGCTGCTGCTGTATATTTGGAGTTTGCGTCTCTCATCACGGTGGCTAGGAGATGTTAACTACCTCACCTGGTCTACAGGAGGTCGTGGGTTTGATCACGACCCTGACGCCTGCTGCTGTTGTATATTTGGAGTTTGCGTCTCTCATCATCACGGTGGCCAGGAGATGTTAACTACCTCGCCTGGTATACAGGAGGTCGTGGGTTCGATCACGACCCTGACGCCTGCTGCTGCATGTGTGGAGTTTGCGTCTCTCCCCGTGGTCGCGTGGATTTTTCTCCTGGTCCTCCGGTGTTTCCCTCCACAGAATCAACGTCACGCGTTGTCGAGTTATTTGACCGCTTTAAACTTCCACGCGAGAAGCCACTTGGTTGAGCTGTCATTTGTGGCCAGGTCGCTTCTGAAAATGAGCTGTACATCTCGGTAAGCCTTACCTGGTAAACTGCAAAAAAAGTTAAATAAATGTGGCGATCAGGTGAGGCGCGTGTGACGATCAGGTGAGAGGCAGGTGGCGATCCGGTGAGGCGCGTGTGGCGATCAGGTGAGAGGCAGGTGAGGCGCACGTGGCGATCAGGTGAGGCGCGTGTGGCGATCAGGTGAGCAGCAGGTGAGATGAGTGAGTTGCGGGCTTCCCGTTCGCCCGCGTGCTCGAGAAGCAGGTTGGGGGGGGGTTTCGACGCCTCGCCCAAGAGGCGAATGTTCGTGCGTCCACCAGGGAGCAGCGATGAGCCGGGAGGGAGCAAGGGCACGGAGCGACGGGGGTGGGTCACGTGGGAGGGGGCGTCACGTGGGTTCATATTCACGCCACACACCTGAAGACGGAAGCTTGTGTTGCCTCCGAAACGTCGTGATTTTTGTTTTACTTTTATTAATTTTTATCTTCGTGACTTTACCGAAAAAACCTAAGAGTATCACTCCATATTCTTAGGTTTTTTCGGTAAAGTCACGTAGGTAAAAAAAATTAAAATTAATAAAACACAGCTATCGTGCTGTGACGGTTCCACCTGAAGACGGAAGCTTGTGTTGCCTCCGAAACGTCGTGATTTTTTATTTTATTATATTATTTTTATTTTACTTTTATTAATTTTAAATTTTTACCTACGTGACTTTACCGAAAAAAACCTGAGAATATGAATCCTTGCAGTCACGAAAGCTTCAAATCTAGAACGTATCACTCCGCACAGTCACGTGGCTTGTCTGAAGGGGGGGGGTCAGGCCACGTGCGAGGGAATTTGACGACGGCTTTCGTGTCCTCGCAAACTTCTCGACGTGTCCCGAGTTCAGCCGCCTGGCCCAAGCCCACGGCTCAATTTCCAGTCGCGATGAGCGCCGCTCAGGAGTTTCACTCGTCAGAAAACGAGCAATGCTTGACACGTACGAATAATAATAATAATTATATGGTAAGTTCTCGCTTAACGCGTGTTCACACAACGTGTTTTGCTAGAACGCGGTCCTTCCACTCGGGAACACTTTTTGCGTAACGCAGAATGTGTCCTTGTCATAACACGGTTTCTGAGCAGTCGACGAAGAACTACTTTCGTGAGCGGTATGATACAGGATACGACGCAGTAACGAGGCGACGTACCGCCCTATAGTTTTTTTGTTTCGCCATCTCACCGCCAGTGCGTGCGTAGGAGCGGATCGTACCATCTCGCCAAACTTTATCGTAACATTTTTTTTCTGACAGACCTGTTCTTCACCTGAGGACAGCTGCTTGCATTGTGGCCGAAACGTCGTGAGAATTATTTTATTATGTTTTATTTTTATTATTTCCCTTTTACGTGACTTTACCGAAAGAACCAAGAAGATATGGGGAAATTTTTTTTCTTCGTGTGTGTTTCGCTTAATGCGGCACTTTTCAGGACCGCGTCTACCGCGTTAAACGAGGACTTGCTGGACAACCGCAACAACAACAACAACAGTACAGTAATGCAATCTGTGTATATGTGGCAATCTCGCCCCTTTGCTTCCCATTTGTGACCGAAATGGGGCCGTGAAAATATTCACCAGCGAATCGCTAATTATTATTGTTGTAGCCTTAATGAACGGTGACTTGAGAGTGAACGACACGGGAGAGTCCCACCACTACCACCACCACTACCACCGCCACTACCACCACCACTACCACCACCACTACCATCACCACCACCACCACTAC